TAGCTTTGTTGTTTCATATATTGCAAGCTGAGTCTCATGTACAACAAGAAAATGTATCTGGTCTTGATGGAATTGTACTCGCGTGTCTGACTGTGCTGTTGGGGTCCTCCCAGCTGAAACCTGCAAGAATCTGGCCTTCTGCTTTTCCCATCCATCAGTGTTCCATACGCAAAGCTGGAGAAAGAATGGTAATGTGATCAATGAATCAAAATCAATTTTTTATGGATGATAATACAGCAACTTCCTAATTGATTGGTCAAGTAGCTAAGAAATCCAGATGCAGCAAACAATTGATGAAACTTCATTATCATGGAGCAGGTCAACTAAGGCAACACTAGGAAGATTTATTGGAAAAAACAAATCACGTAATCTAGCCATGTACAAATTCTGTCACAGAAATAAAACTCAGAGGAAGCTAATTCATTGTAACATGCATGTAAAATAAAAATTGAATACCTGAGAATCTGCTCCTGATGAGACAAGCACATTCAGTACATGAGAGAAGGCAAGGCCAGTTATTCTTTTGGAGTGGCCTTTAAGTTTACTCTTCACCTGGATGATGAAAATGATAAATAAATAACAAGTAAAACTTCTCCAAATGAGAGTTGAATGTCCACAACATGCATCATACCTCATCCACACGGACATTATATATCTGAATTGTTGAATCATCCATGCCTATAGCAATAATATTATTATCTTGCGGGTGGAATGCAAGAAACGTTGCTGCTGGTGGTGGTGGCATGAAAGTTGCCATTGTCTGCATGTGTCAATAAAAAATCATATGCTTAAATCATTGACAAATGCAGAGAGAAGGAAGATCTTTCTTATCCCAACTATAAATGAAAAGAAAAAATGGAAAAAGGAAACTCATTCCAGCAGTCATGGATTACCTTAAATGTCATCATATTAAACAAGGAAATCTTTCCCCCAGATGCTGACATTACATAAGAATCATTCTTTGATAAAGCAAAACAGGGTACAGCCTCTTCAGGATTTGTGTCAGCAACATCATTTGTCATCAAAATGCCACTTGATGGTTGCCACAACTGAGGTGGTACACTAGCAGTTGCCTACAGAATGAAGCAACAATATAACCATTACAGTACATGTCATTTCAAAATATTCTTGTAAGACAAAAAGTTAGCGAATGATGAGTGGAAGCTAATTTGATATTCTTCCTCCTACCTTGCCAATTGTATTACGATCACTTCGCTGCCACTTCCAAAGCAAGTGAATAGCATTTGATGCTAATGCCAATATAGCATTACCTGAATTTGTGAAGATTAACCTCGATATCTGAAAAAATCACAGGAAAAGCTGATAAGATGGGGCCCAAAAAATGGAGATAAATCAGATGGAGTTCAATTTCAGAAGTTGAATTCATCGTCATCAGAGTGAATGGCCAAAAATACATTCAAGTCATAAATCATTATCACAAAAAAGGGCTAGTTCCATAAAGGAGAATTTTAGTAGGGATAAGGTGCACTATAAAAAAAAGAAACAACTGAAAAACAGTGTATGATTTCTGAACACTTACAGAGCGCATTTTTTGCAAATATCATGGGCGTTTATCGAACAATTTGACTTTAAATTAATAGTCTTTTAGGACCGGTTAATCTCATCGTCAGGTCACCATCAGACAAGGTCTAGACCAGATCTTTAAATCAGCCTCTTTACAGATACAGGATAATCAATTTGAAGCCATTTAGGCTCTATCTACTTATACATCTTCTAGGACTAAGTGATGTTATGTAGCATTAAGGTGATGTAAATTTACTGTTAACTTCTCAATATCTTATTAGATTAGCCAACTACTCAAGAATTACTTAGTCTGATCTTCATTCATCCACTTCTTCGTGATACAGGATTAAAGATAGTAGGAATCACATGATGCGTCCTTTTCATCAAGCTGGATGTAATCGCACTAATACATTTGGTTGCATGATCTGTTACTCCTCTCAAAAGTGCATTTCATTTCAATCTCTACCCCTTTCCTTAGAGACCAACATAAGCGTAAACCAGAATCCTAGACAGTTTCCTTCAGTGGAAAAACAATTCAGAGCATGACACTCCTTAGCAAAGCAATGATATATTAAATGGCCAGATTTCCTAGATCCAACCAAAGATAAAAGTGAAAAGACTAGGACATTTTTTTCTAGATATGCAAGGTAGTTTTAAAATGGTAAAAAGGATATAATATGGACAAAAATGTCAAATTCTAAATACTATAAGCATTTTTCTGAGGATAGTACTTAACTAAAATCCATAATTGAGAACTAATTAATATCACACCTCTGAATTACAAGGTATTGCTTAAGTTTCTTTATTTATAATGCAATCGGAATCTGCTGATCACTGTACGCGTGAAAGAGCAAAGCAGCTAAAGCAGAATCATGAAAACCATCAGATTGGCTAAAGACTAAGTGTCAGTGAAACAGCCAAAACATGCAGGAAAAACTATACCAGTTACTTGGCATGACAACAAATATAACTAAGTGGTCAGCCTACCAGCATGTTAGAAAATCTACGAAGTACAAAGTTAATGTGAAATTTCTGTACCTTGGTTACCCTCAAGTTTTCAGGAAGCCTCAAAGATCGACACTGAGATGGTTCACTGATTTCAGTGAGCTTCCAAATCTTTGATTTATCACTGGATTCTTCCGTTATTCTGGGTTTCACATCCCCCAAACTCCGGGCATCCCCATTCTGAAAAAATGCATAATGCACAAATCACAAAGTCATGCACCCAGCCTCCACTACTGAAAGGAGAAACAATTATAACATAACCGTATCGCAAAATGATGTTGAAGTGCTGATTTGATAAAAGTTTTTATGTTGATGATGAAAAAACTAAAAAAATTAATAATAAAAAAAAAGAATATTCATGTCTAACAGACCATTGCAGCAATTGCAACCACAGAGGCACTTCTGTCTGTAATTCCAGCACTAGTAGCAGCTGCTGCTGCTGCTGCCGCTGCCGCTGCCGCTGCAGCAGCTGAGATTGGATTTATAGTAGGCTGAGAAAACAACACATCATAAGACAATTTAATTTAGCATCTGGGCCTGGTATAGCAAATTTTAATTTGCTAATGAAATT